GCACGCGCCTTCGCCTGCTCTCGTATACGTGCAGATGTGAGAAGACTCCACTTGCCAGTGCGAGGCGCGGCATTTCTGTTGATCGTAAACGTTCAACTTGATGTGTTCCAACTTGTCAGGGACTAAACCGCCTTCCTAGAAGTAAATAAAAATATTATATCAACATTTTTATCTTTCTGAATATCTTCGAAACTATGAAATAAGTCTTACACGTTTATTTCGATAGATGTTGGAGTCAACAAATCCAAGTTTGTTTCCTAATTTGTGTAATAATTTCTATTTTATTTTTTACTTACTGAGGTTGTTCCCCAACCGCTTAAAAGAGATCCCGCAAAGAGATCCCGCGGCGATGTCGTTGGTCGCGAGTCGAATAGGTTGAATCGTGGTGGTAAAGTCAACGGGTCTTGATAGAATGAGTATACCAATGTCGTTGGCTCTTGTGAGACTATTGAAATCTTCGTGAGGGACGGCCGCGGTCGCCATATAAACAGTTCCCTCTTCGCTCAACAGATTCGTGCCTGCGTGAATAGTCAGAGATTTCAGAGCATTGGAATTGTTGGCGTAACTGTGATGAAAAAATTGTGTTTCTATTAATTATATATTTTACAGTGCTCGATTTTGAATATCTTTTTCTTTGATATTTATTTAATAGCAAAATAAGTAATGAGCGAGCAACACGAAATACGTACGAAATAATACAATGAGCGGCGGTGAGGACGGTGCGCGCGGAGATGATGGATCCGCCGCAGGAGTGAGATCCGTACAATCTCAGAGATACCTGATGCGCGGATACGCGCCCACCGGAGCGTCTTCTCCACCGACAATATGGGAATTCGGGAAGCCTGTGTGCGGATTTAGTCATTAAGTAATGTACTATACGTTGTTTGTATTTCTTTATAAATTGTTTCGAACTCGCAAGAAATTGGATAAATGTTCCTTATAAGGCGGTTAGTATGCAAAATGTTTTTATTACTTCAAAAATTCATTTTTTTATTCTTCCAAACATTTATCATTATTTGTAATTTTGTTTTTCTTTTTTTCTACACGATTGCGAAATAAAAGTTTTTTTTTCACAAGCGTTTTCACGTTTGTATTCTAAAAAATATTGACTGTGTGTGTGTCGCTTACCATGAGCGGCTGCTGCCAAGCTAACGAGTACGAACAACGCCAACATGATGAGACCGTGAGATTGATTAATAACAAAGCTTGGTCGTAGTGATTTATATACCGCATTGGAGCACTTGAAGACTGTTCATTGAAACGTGTGTGTGTCACATAAACACAAATCAAGTAATTTAATTATTCGAATTCCTGGTAAATGTAATCGGTCAGGAAATTCAACCGCGATTATATCTATCAGAAATTAGATTAATACAAGAGTTTGTGTTTTCGATCAAAACGACTAGACTTTTTTGACTCGCCTGGATTTTTTTATCGGGTAAATGTCTACGCACAAGAATTTTTATCTCAAGTACGTGACGCTAGGGATAGATTACTTTACTTGGCGACTTATTGCAGCACAAAAAAATGTAAACACATCAATGTATCTTTGGTAGTTTTATGGCAATATTTATTAAACACTTTTTTACTCACTGAGAATAACAATAATTTGGTCGAGAATAACTGTACATACAAAAGATTTCAGTTTACTTTGTTACGAAACAACATTTTTCTCCAGCCAATTCGCAAACGAGGATACTCTGGTGAACACGTCGGGCTCACCGCGAGCGCACGGCCTGCCGAAGGAAACAATACCGATTTGAACACCGCCAGCGAGAAGAGCACTACCGGAATCACCCTAAAAGAATTTCATAAAAACAACAACATTAATTATTGCACAATCCGAAGCATTCACACGACCAATTCTTTTGATTTAAGTAAGTAAATGAAAAAGCTTACATGGCACGCGCCTTCGCCTGCTCTCGTATACGTGCAGATGTGAGAAGACTCCACTTGCCAGTGCGAGGCGCGGCATTTCTGTTGATCGTAAACGTTCA